AAAATTAATAAAATAGTTGAAAATTAATGATAGATAACATGAGAGTTAAAAACCTTAAATGGAGGAAAATGTATACATCTATAAAATCACCAAAACATGAGTAAAATAGCATTATGCTATGTGAAGTGTATAATGGCTAATATCACATGTGAACAGAATGGAGGCAATAATGTACATCTAAAAAACACTGGAAAATGAATGGCATTAGGCTGTGTGAACTGTGTCATGACTACAGGAAAGGCGTCCCTTTTTGTGCTTTTTTCTAGATACCAAAGTCCCCCTGGCTGAAGTGGGGCAGCATCCTGCAGTATGCACACCATCACACTCCTTTGAGGAGCGATTGTCCTTTGGCGCTTTTTGTTACAATTCGTTTATTACGGATTATCCCATCACCATTTAACAATTAGGACATTATCTTGTCCCCTCTCAGTCTTCTCTTTTCGAAAGTAAACAAGTGTAACCCCTTTATTAAATTTGTCTCCCTCCTCTAGACTTCTCCAGCTCAAGCCCTTCCATCTTATATTTTTCAAATGCCAGCTTCCTCTGGTGATATGTTGTTTTAGGGTCGGGATCATCCACGCAGGTTGGTCGCAAATGCTATTGTTTAGTATATCCTAAAGCAATCCCACTCATCCTCTGTGTTCTTTTTTTGGAGATAATTTCTCCCATTTGATATCCTGTATTAAGGATCACAGCTTGTTGAAGTTAGCTTTTTTGAAGTTTAGAGTTCTTATCAAACCAACATGCCTTCTTTTTTCTGTAACCTACTGTAAACATGATCACCCTGTGATCGTTGTAACTCAAGTTTTCCCCCAGTTGCTATATCTGTAACTACCTCTGTATTATTTGATATCATTAGAATATTGCATTCATCCTGGTTGAGACTTCTACCATTGGTTCCATGAAACTGTCCCCCAATTAGCTCAGGTAAATGTAAGCCTTGGTTGAGTGTGTGGTTCCTTTAGACCATTCAATGTTGGAATAGTTTAAGTCCCCCATTACAATAATGTTCCCTTTTTTCCTGGCCAATTCAATCTGTGAGAGAATCTCCTTTTATGTTTGGTGGTCTATAGCATACACCTACAATCAGTTTACTATAACCTCATTCTTATTAGGTTCCGGTCACAAAGACTCAGCACTGTCACAATTCCCACCAGGGATGTCATCTTGTATGGGCACTTGCAGATTGCTTTTCACATACATGCATACCCCTTCTCCCCTTCTACCGACCCTGTCCCTCTGAAACAAATTGTACCCTTCTATGTTACCTGCCCAGTCATATGAGCTGTCCTGGCTTGTTTAAGTTACTCCCACAAAGTCAAAGTCCTCCTCGAGTAAAAGAAGTTCAAGGTCCTCCAGTTTGTCAGTTAGACTGCTAGCATTTCTGTACATACCTTTTAATTTAGTGCTAGTGTTATGCAATCTATTATTGGCAATTCAGAATCGTAACTATTTTCCTCCAGACCTACTATATTGGACATTGATAAGGTTGTCCTACTACCGACTGGATCTAACCTCCTGTCCCCCTTCAACTTAACCCCCTCTATATTAAGTGCCCCTTTTGATCCCTGCTCTCTAAATGTCACCCTTGTTTCCTTTCCATCCCCCCATATTCTTGTCTAAAACCTCCTCCAGCGTTCTAACCATTTTCTTCCCTAGAAGAGCTGCTCCCTCCCCATTCAGATGCAGCCTGTCTCTCTCATAGAGCCTGTAGCCAAAGAAAACTTAATTCTCCATAAATCCAAAACCCTCTTTCCTGCACCAGTTACACAGCCACCAGTGCCCAAAATATGAACATTTAAGTATTAACATTTCTTAACACACAGAAAAAGAGCTTTAAAACAAGCCCTCACTCACCTCTCAGGCTGCATATACAGTAACATAGTCAATTTTCAAATATCCTTAAAGATCACAAACAAAAACTCTAAAGTCAGGTTCTAATAGCTCCCCCCCCACCTGTTATCTGATGCTCAGCCTATTGTACTGTTTGACTGTATATGTAAATGTCTGATTCACTGTGTAAGCTGTTATCTGTGTTTGTCATGAGGGGGGAGGGGAGGGGGTTGTATCCCTCCCAGTGTCTCTAAAGTGAATGTCCTCTGTTTAATAAAGGAGTTGCTCTTTCTATGTTGAACCTTCAACATGAATTTGCCTCGTGATTGGGGGTTAGGGGCTGGTTACTGCGGATCTGCTGGCTGAGAGTGGGGTTTGGCGGGCAGGAGACGCTCTTTGGCGGAGGTAGCCAGTCGGGGTACCCGGGGTCCGTCACATAGCTTAGGAACATCTGCTGGTTGTTTACATTAGAGGGCTGTCAAGCTGAGATTTTTGTGTCTCTAAAGTTTAAAAATGGATTTCTCTGCCTATAGCTGTAGAGGTCAATCAGGGCTTGTTTTACTGCATGTTCAAAACAGTTAAATACTTAAAGTTGACCTGTGCCCACACTATGGACATTAAAGGTACATTTGTCAGAAAGTGTAACCACACTTGTGGTAGAGTCAAAATGTATCCAAAGAAAATCATCCTCTAGCGGAAAAACACACCCTGAAGTAAGTATTTAACTGATGTCACCTCTTTATCCCACATAGAAACATTAAAAAAAACCATAACTATGACACTACTTCCTCTGGAAAATCACACATCCTGGAGGTAGCATGGTGCTCAGTTTAATTCATTGTACAAAAGATTCACTCAAATGTTATTGATTGATTTAATTTTTTTAATTGAATCCCTACTAGCACTGCCCAAATGTACAAAAGAAAATAAACACTACACTTCCACTCCTTTCTCCTTCTACTGTGCTCTGTTAAGAGTTGTGATTGGTCATACAGCCTGTGACAGCATGACCATACCCCTCTTGTCTGTTCACTGTCCTTGTTATTTTCCATACTTGTCTGGTTGTGGTCACTGTAGTTTTCTACTCGGTCTTTCAACGTTTACCAGACAGGAAATGGGGGGAACTCTCTAACAGCAACACAGATAGAAATAAATATGATTTTCTTTAGTAGTATATGGAAAGGCAAGAACCCATGTCAGATTTTTTTTTCTGTCTTCATTCCAGTTACAGATTTTCACAAATTTTCTGTCTGGTAAAAGCATCAGCAGGACAGGAATTGAGGGTAAATTTCTCTTCCTAGTG